ACACACCTCACCTATCTCTGCCCCTGTTCCTCTCTGCTAATTCGTTCGCTCTACCCCTACTAAGCAATCACACCTGATCAAACTGCCTCTTTTCTGCCAAACACACTTCCATCAACCTGCCCTCGCAAGGTAAAAGCACATCCGCGCGTCTCCGCTTTGCCCGATTTCCACGCCATTCCAGGTACCGCTCTTCTTGGGTTTTGCATTGGAAATGCAGAGAATTCACGCACAAGAACCAACATGCCTTGCTCCTCTCCCCTCCTCCCTTCCGCCTGGACCCTCCTGCACAGCAGACAGGCCCACTCACATGCAATCGTTAACACACAATGGACCTAGGTAAACCCCCTAATCCCTTGGAGTGGCAACCAAAGTCATCTCTTGGTAGGCCAAGGAGCCATACAGACGCCCACTATTTAGTCGGTAGTACGTAACCGTAAAGTTGATATCGATCGTTGGGCCGTTTCTCGTTCGGCCAGAATGAGAGAGAGTAGCAGGCAAGTTTCTTGGCTTTTCGTCAGTCGCCTAGCTGATTCTTTTTGTTCCTCCTTTGTTTTCGCCAACCTTTTTTGGTATTGAGAGATTGATTGATCTCGTCGTCTCACAACCTAGGGAGCTTGTTTGACCAATCTCGCGACCTAGGTAGGTTGTTCGATCGATGCCTTCTTCGTCAACTGGTGGGCGTCCAATGACCGTCTTCTTCTTCTTTTTTTTTTTCTTTTTTTTTTTTTTTGCCCAATTGCTGTCTTCTAATATGCGGGCAATGATTTCTCTCTACGATTCTTAAACAACACCTCGTGTGTTGGCCTCACTCCTTCCTCCCTATTGCAGTTTGTTTCCCCGTCGGTCTATTGTTGGATGGAATGGTAATCAGGGTGCGCAGCTTTACGAGGTGGGCTGTGGCATTACCAGGTGCCCAATTGCGGGCGACGCATGGTTGGCCACGCTGCTATTGAAGCAGCTGGCTTGTTCCTCGGGATTCGTTATCAGATGCCAGGTGGCATGGTCCCCGATGCCAGGGGTCACAGAGTAGCGCAGACATCTGATGTGAGGTCTGCACGTTCACTTGCTGGGCGATGCGATTCGGTGCAGTGGAAGCAGGAAGATTCGTTAGTTCCGTTGTCGTCATCCTTGGTTATAGCGATATGAGCCTATATCAAGTAAGGAAAGCTCATTTTGTTCTGTTATGTAGAGGTTAGAGAGAGATCAATCAATTCAATTCGTTGGCTTGTATGAATTGATGCAAAGCTATAGAATAGTTCAATAGTGTGAATGTGGAGTTTTTTTGTTCCCTTTTCAAGTCTTTTTTAAGCTTTTTTTTGTAACTCCCTACCCCCTTTTTTTTCCCCCCCCCCCCCCCCCCCCCCTCTCCCAACAAACCCCCACACCCCTCTTCGGTTGTGATTCCTAAGGTTTTGCCTACCCCTATTTCTTGTTGCTCAAGACGCCTCAAGGCCCATCGATGAAATCAATTCGTCCTAATGGCTGCTTAAGACAGACTTAAGCCCATACGATGAAAATTATGAAAATCTGCAAAGTTCAAATCCCTCTATTCAAAAACAAGAAAAAAAAGAAAAAAAAAAAAGAGGTGACGGATCTGCTGTGTTTTATATGCACTCCCTCACATTCGTTGTCGGCTGAATTTATATATGCGTGCTTGTGGATGGTTGTCTATATATAATATATATCTATATATATTGTAAAGTGTATATGAATGGCGCCGACGCGGACATGTGAGAGCTTTTTTGTTTTACATACACACCTGCAATAAGTTCCTCCTCCTCCTCCACTTTCTCCTCCTCCTCCTCCCCTTCCTCTTCCTCTTCCTTCTCCTCCTCTTCCTCCTCCTCCTCCTCCTTCTCTTCCTCCTCGTCTTCCTCTTCTTCCTCCTCCCTTCCTCCTCCTCCTACTCCTACTCTTCTTCCTCCTTCCCCCTTCCTCCTCCTCCTCTTCTTCCTCTTATTCCTCCTCCTCCCTTGCTCCTCCTCTTCGTCTTCTTCCACATACATACCTGCAATAAGTTTCGTACATACCAGCAAGACAGTCGAAATGCACCTGCTTCGACCCCAAGTCAAATGCCAACCCTCCCCCTCCAGCACCCCCTGAACCACCACCCACAACCACCCCCTGAACCCCCTGAACCACCACTCCCTGAACCAGAAAGCTTGCTTTGAATAAATTTGTGCGTGCTACGTAGAATGTCGGCCCAACTTTTGTACAAAAATCGAAGGCAACTCTTTGCAAAAGTTGTGAAGGCAAGTCTGCTTGGAACCAACATGTGGATGTGAGCATTCCACACTCAGCTACGCAGATATGAGGGAATGTTTGGTACAGACGAAATCTGGACCGATTCTGAAATATGTTTTTGTGCATGCGCTGTTTTTGCGCTGGTGCCACAGTGATCTCCTGCCCATTGTTACGAGTCTAAACTGCCAGTCTTTTTTGCGGCGATTTTGTTCCGACACGGTGGTCACCACACCGCTTAGCGGGGGCTCGCCGGCTCGGCATGCCGGGCGAAATTAGCTGGTGTCGTCAAGGAAGAAGAAAAATAATAAATTATTGTGTGCCTGTGTTGGTTCATTTTTCTTTGGCATATCTCGCCAATCTGAACCGAGAAAGAGTTCCGTGCATTCCGCTCGGAGGGACTACAGTTGAAACCTTGAAGTACCACCGGTACATGGGACCCTGCCTTCATCTTCTGCGCGAACCTGTGGACGAGCTTGAATTTGACCAGGTGCAGGCAGGCCCGTACATCTCTGTAAGACAGGCCAATTAACGAGTGCACCTTGCTTCTACCGTCTTCACTCGAATACAACGCCGGGTGATTGTCCTTGCATCTGGACAGAAAGTTGCTCCAAATACGGCCGTAATGACCTGGCGTCTAGGCTATCAGAGTGGCCCGGGACCACTTGCCCGGCTGGGCCATAGAAAATGAAAAATATAAAAATAAAAATTGTTTATCTGTTTTTGAAAATTTGGTAAAGAATTTCGATGATACCCTGAGGTAAAAATTGTTCAGTTTAATTTTCTGCACAACGTAGTTTTTATTCGTTTTTTTTTTTTTCTTTTTTTTTTTTTTCTTTTTTTTTGCTGGAACCTTCCCTCTGGTCATCGCACGGCCGGACCGCCCAGGAAAACAGGGTGACCCGGGCGGCTCGGCTGGTAGCCCTGTCTTCCCCTGAACACAATGCACCCTTATTTTGGCTGTACCTGGCCGGAAATATAGCTTGTATACATTCATTTTTAGGGTGCGTTATGTTCGGGGGAAGACGGTAGCCTGACGTTATATTCGGGTGAAGACGGTAGCAAAGGTGTCTTCATGGGTATCCTAACCTAAAGAGGCTGTGCACATGGTTGCAGATGCAGACATGCAGAGAATCTGGCCAGTATTACATTTCTTATATATGTTCCCTGTAGATAGATTTTAAGTTCAGGAGTGTAGGATTGAAGGTAGATTTCTTCTTGCTTTGAGAGTGTAGAATCCCTTAGATACAGAGAAGATTAATTATCAGGGCCAGTGTGCAAGGATGCCATGCGTAAATCGAGAAATGATAGCACACATCATTCCGAGTGCATTGCACTGTGCGCAGCTGCACAGCATACACAAGTGAAAATTCGACATGTGCAAAGGAGGATATACAAGTCCAGACGAAGAGCGCAGATGCATATCCGAAATGATTAAACCACCAGTACCTTTCCCGTATGTTGGCCGAGGGCACTGCGTGCCGGGCAGAAAATGAAGATTGGCTGCCAATTCAAGCTATCGGCGGTCGCGTGTTCCGTTTCAGGCCAGTACATTACCCGGTGCGCCTCTGAAAAAATAGCTAGGAAAGGTACTGGTGGTTTCACATGTGAAACGAACATGGGCGACTGTGTCCAAAGTGTTCACAAAAAGAAAAAAGAAACCTTCAAAACAGAAAAGCGTGGGAAATACATTCCGAGGGTGAGAGAAGTTAGAGAAGCCAGATGGCATCAAGACGGTTATTCATTGACTGAAGTCAATGAATCTATAGTTAATTGATTCAAACAACCACATAAAGAGTGAGTGGGGTACAGCATATAAACAAAAGTTTGCTGAGTTATAGAGAGTTTTTGTAAAGTATGTTTTTTTTTTTTTTGTTACATCCATGTGATTAACCAAAGTATCCTGATATTGACCGTATAATAAGGACTAGATTCTCTTGAGATTCTAAATAGGATACATCTTGAAGCAGTTTTGGCCACCACTTCGTGTCGAGCAATTGAAGCACAGGCAAAGACGCACTGGCAAAGCTGCACTGCATGTGTGCGATGTAGAATGTTTCTTTTTTTTGCTGATAACATATGGAACAAAAGTTCAAAAGTCAGTTCTCCCATTCATTTATAGGCCTCGCTAGAGGTCTTGTTTTCGCGAAACTGTTTGTGACGAATTTCGTTTTTCAAAAACTGCAAAGACATCAGTCAAAACTAGTTCAACAAGGCATTTTATTACTGGAAGATGGGGAACAACTGATATGACAAATTTTGCACAGAGATGGCTGTTTTCCACAAACCACAAGGATGTAGGTTTTTTTTTTTATCTAATCTTTGGTGCAATTGCTGGAGTAATGGACACATGCTTCTCTGTACTAATTCGCATGGAATCAGCACAGCCGGGAAATCAAATTCTTGGTGGAAATCATCAACTTTATAATGTGTTATTAACAGCTCACGCTTTCTTAATGATCTGTGCGCCGCTGTGTTAGATGTTTGCAACCACACCACTGCAACAATTTGGTGAATACCATAACTAAAATAAAGTAAAGGTACCGATAGCCGATAGCTTGTCCGTAGGTAAATGTTCTCAAAGGCTCAGGAAGGAGTCCACTATGATATAATGCCAGAAATCTAAGATCAATACCTGACTAGTTGCTTATAGAGTTTGAACTTTGAATGGTTGCACTTCGTGCCTAAAGAGAACCCAAAGGCAAACATGAAAAGAACTACGGGAAAATCAATCTTCGTTTCGGGATCGGTTTCGGACCGCTCACATAGTAGTAGTCTCCTGTGGACCCTCAATCAACCACAATGAAGGGGTGCAAAGTATATAGAAATATGTGGGTTCCAAATTCTCGTTTGCAGATGCGACCATGAAATCGAACGTTTGGAGGCCATCGTGGCTGAGTCAGAAATTCGCTTTATGATAGACGAACAGGGCCATGCATTTAAAAAATAACAAACTCGTCCCAGTCCTCTCGTACTAGGGATGGCTTCTCTCAGTACGTCGTGTGCTGACTCCATGCGAAGCTGATTGACATAGCCTAGCCTAATCGGCGGAATGAATGAATAGCAGGCTACCCAAAGCGTGCGGTGAGAGGCAACACGAGAAGTGTATAGATGCAATTTTATGTGAGTCTGCTGATGCAATTTTCTGCAGCGAAGTTTTTTTTTTGTATCCGTGCTGTTGGAAACTGGGGGGGGGCATATGATTGGACGAGACACAGCTGATGTGGTTGTCGAGCTGAAAAGGACGTGGTCGATGTTTAGAATTTTGTTGAACAGGTAGGGGTAGTTATATAACCACCAGTACCTCCACGTTTTTCGGCCGTCGACGCGGTGGCTGAATCGTTGCGCTGCGTGGGTCCATATGCATTTGCACCAGAGCCTCCCCAGAGGGGGCCTAAGACCCCCCCTGGGGGTACTGGTGACTTAAACCACCACTCCAACGGCCCCTTCACTGTTTATTTTTCTTGTCTACATGACCTGGGACAAAATCTGCAGTGCCCGACAGAGGTCCAGTTTCGAAGGGTACGCAATTATTTTTCCTTACAGTGGCACTGTAGATTGTAGGCTCAGGGAAGGGTACAAAACTTTTAGATAGGGCTCAGGGAATTTAGATCTGACGGTTGGGCCAAATGTCCTCGTGGACCGTTGTGTCCGATCCTGCAAAAATAGACCTGAATATCTTTTGTTTTGTGGTCTCAGTGAAATGTTTTTGATGTTTCTGCCATTTTTCTAAGAAATAACATGATTTTTTTTCTTTTTTCTTTTTTTTTCTTTTTTTGTTTTTGTTCTTTTGAGAATTCTGGATGGTCCTGTCTATTGGTGGGGAGCGGCACCTGCTGGAAAACAGGTCCAACGTCCCTTAACAGCAAGAGTCTTCCAACATTGATTGCCTTGTTATTAGGGATTGATTCCGCATGTATTCAAATCGTTAGAACCAAGGAATGACACAGTCTTGGGCATGGAGCCGCCTCTTTGGTCTTAACCTGGCCACCAGATTGATCTCGTCGCTAGGGGCATGGAGCCACCTCTTTGGTCTAAACCTGGCCACCAGATTGATCTCGTCACCCTAGCGACTCCTCCCTTTAGTCTTCCTTTTTGAAAGGTAGCCTGCTCAGTAACGCTGGCCCCCTATCCGGAAAGACGACCTAATGTACATATTCTCAAATTTTCAGATTGTTCTGTCAATGCGTCTTGGCAAAACAAATCGCCAAAGTAACGTCTTGCGAACATTGTTTTGGAATTTCGGACTCCACCCAGTTTCACCATAGGAACCCTACCACAGCTTGTCCCTCCCAGTGCAACTGCATATGGAGGCGCGAGAACGGTACTTTGAAATGCTTACCTACCGGCAAGTCCTCCTCAAGGCTGTGGGTCCTCGGCTAGCGCTTGAAGGGCCTATCATATCAGAGTCTGGACCCCTATATGCCCTCTTTTGCAATGGTTGTCCGCCGCCAAAAGTAGGTCACCTTGACACAAACGCCGGACCCCACCATACTGCAGCCCTAAGGGTTGTGAATTGTGGGTGCTGGGCCAGGCGGTAGCCACCATGTTCATGGCATGTTCCCCATAATTATTTTTATGTCAATTGACAGGCTAGCTTCTTTGTTTTGGCGGGCACCCTAATGGTATTTCCCTACACATGGGTCGGTACAGTATCTATGACTTCTTTTGAACATTTTTGTCGATAGAGGAGAGAGTGACAAATAACCTCATTGGGGGACATTCATTCGTTCAACCACTTAAACCACCAGTACCTACCGGTTGTCAAGTCCCGTGGCTCAGGCTACCGGTAGGCCGGACATCGCCGAGGCTCGACTTCATTGCCGAGCCTCGGACAACCAGTAGTACACAACAGCCAAAAAGAAAGTAAAGAAAAAAACAAAAGAAAACGAGGACAACAATCTGAAAAAAAAAAAAAAAAAAAAAA